TATAAGGAGAAAAGAAATAATCAATAATATTATCATCATGATTTGTTTATTGATTGCTTGTTGTTTTGTTTTGTTTTTTCCATCTGTTTACTTGCTCTATTTATCTATGACCTTATTTTTGTTTATTTACCAATCTTATTACTTTAGCATTTCGTTTGTTGATTTATTTGCTTATTTATTTGTCCTACTCTTCCTTATGTATCTATTTATTCATTTTTCTCTCTCTCACTCACTCACTCACACACACACGCACACACACATACTCATTCCATCTTTTGTTTTCATGTTTATTTACGTCCTGTAAATCATAGGGTTACGAACTAGATCATGGACATTAGTACTACTACTACTACTAATAATAATAATAATAATAATGGTGGTGGTAGCTGTTGTTATTGTTTTTTTGTTGTTGTAACAGTGGCACTGGTATTGATTGTTTTTCTCTTATGATATTATTGATTGAAAGTCATTATATTTTGACATATTTTTTGGCTTTCTTTAATGTATTATTACACTTAGATTTTTGTATTTTTTTTGTAATACATATTTGTGTACCTGTTTACATGTGGTTTCAATTATATGCGTATTTGTGTATATGCTTATGTTGAATTGAATCTTATCAATAATACTGTATTTATTTTATTATACACTATTAATTATTTACATTGATGCCGGTTCTTTGATTTTAATTATGTACACACACACACTCACTCACTCACTCACCCACTCACATAAAATACATGTGAACCAGTGTATTTAAGCTTTTTTTTCTCCAAACATAATGATGATACGTGTAATGAGACATTTGTAAACATTGTAAATGGATTAATTCATTGTTGTTAAGAAATCACCAGGATACCTGAGGCTACAGTTGTTTTCTTTTTTATAACTGTTCTTTTATTAAATAATAATAAAATAATTTGAATGGTTAAGATCATGAGTCAGTCGAAGCTAGACCATCATGGAAAACCTGAAAGCATTGGATGGTCGTTTCGTCCTATTGTGGGACTCCTCAGCAGTGCACATCTATGATCCCACCTCGCGAAATACTTCATTATATATTTGTAACTAGGTTGTTAATACGTGATGAAGATACACAATTTAATGTGAAATCTTTCTAAGCACACAATATCTAAAATCTGATTTGAACAACTAAACGGTAGTAAGACTCAAACTTCACAGTCGAATACATCATTATCGGTATTTACTGAATGAATTAAAAATAATTATTCTTAATTAGAATATTAAAGATTCCCATTATGATAATCAGAACGAAATTTATATAAGTGAACAATATTGTTCCTTTTTTGCAATTAGATCTTCATCAGGCTTTACTCTAATCTACATGAATATTTACATGGGTACATCAATATACTAAACCAATCAAGTCAATATCTGAGTTAATGATCACAATGAAATCGACCGTATAATAATACATAATGAGTAGAAAGTACAAATTGATAATAAAAAGACAAATGTACTAGTAGTGATAAAAATAATTTGAAAAAAAAGGTCGGTGTGACTATAATTTATGGATGAATCAATCAGATACAAGATAATAGGTCTTAGATTCGTTCATCCATTTAGCTAAATAGCGTTTTGGCGTTTTAGCTAATGTCAGTTCGTAATGATAACTCCAAATCTAATTCTTACCCTTAACCATCAACTGTAAATCATAATTTTAATTTCTCAAGCTAGTTTCTAACCTTCATTTAGTCCTAGTTATTAGGTGTACATTCTCAAGGTCACCTTGGCGTTACTCAAAGGTGGTCCATAAATTATAGTCTCACCAGAGCTTTTAGTTAATAGTAGATGTGGATTGAACTTGGATAAATAGACATTCATATAATCACAACACACTATTAATATTACGTAATAATTTATAATAAAAAGTAATATTTAAATATCTAAAATTACTCTTCATAAAATAGTTAGGTTATTGCAAATTATAAATTCAGTATTGTCTTGTTGCTTAGTCATTACTATTTTCTAATTTTTTACAACTCTAATCCATGGAAAGACAACTTATAATTGATTAATCACTGGGTAGTAATCAATGTCATGTTTGTCAGATCCTTCTTAGTGCAACATCTCAGTCCTGTAGGAGGTCAGTCGCACCTCGAATAGCTCAGTGGCAACGTCTCTGACTGTGAAGCTGAGTGAAACGGCATCCAATCCATCAGGGAACATCAGTTCCCTTAAGACTAAAGGTATACCCTACTGACGAGTGCTAAATAGCACGAAACCTAGGTCCAGGGTTTTCCTGTCGTCTACCTTCGACCACCATCGGATGAAAAGACAATATTTATTCACTAATGACTGGCTCATTCACATATGAAAAACATTATATAAAACATGTTTGTATTAGTTTTTTCCTATGTTTTGTCTTGAATGTAAAATCATGACGTAGTGGTTTAAGACGCTTGACTTTCGACAAGTAGATCACAGGTCCGAAACCCATTTAAACTACTTGTTTTTGCTTAATCATCTGGCTAATAGTATTGCTAGCTATTAGACAATCAAAGTGTAGTTTAAAGCTGGTTTCATAAATGAGAAACCTCTTTTTTTCACTTTAGTAACCACTTTCAAGTTCTTGTTTTCAATACAGAAAGGTTGCAAAAATTAGAGTATACAGAGTGAAGTTTAATCTTGTATCTTAATTCATGAATGTTGAATGACTAAACTATCAGTTCACTACCCAAATTAACCGAGAAACAATTACTCATTTATTTGAATAAAATTACTACCTAGTTGATTTATTATGTCTTCAGTTCCCATCTAACTAGAGGTTTCAAGTTTGAATTCCTTTCTACTGTTCATATCTGATTATATCTTTGAGTTTCGCATAATACGTTTGATTTGAAGCATTTTACACGAACTTATGGGGTTACTTATTGAATTGGGTCAATAATTAAATAATTCTATTTTTTTAAAAACTACATCGTACTAGTTTCTATGCATTGCTTGTTTAAACTTGGTTAAATAGGCTGTAATATAATCACAACTCAGTACTTCCCTGCTTCGGTATGAGCATCCGGGCAATATTCCAACCCTCAGAAAAATCGTATAAAGAAGTGTGGCTCATATATATTTGGTACCTCCTTGTACCAATGTTTACATGTTCAAATAAATGAACAAATAAGTATTACTTGTTTAAATGATCCTATTGATGTTTAGGACTGTTATCTATCAGTCTATTTTAGCATATTTATATCCTGTACGAAATAACTAATACTACGGTTAAGTCATCATCATTTTTAGATAAAAATTAATTTAGTGATTAACAATGGAATGCAATATCTTCCATTTGCACATGTTCCATCAGTTCCATCTTATAAACTTTATCGTTCCTTCATTCCTGTTATTTATTACAATTACTCTCTGTTTACATATTTTTTTTTGTTTACGTCAATTTGATCTTCTCAACTTTCTGTTGTGAGATATTCCCCTTCTGATTGATGTTATTTACTACTTGTATCTGTCAACACAATTGGCATACACCACTCATACATTACAATATATGTTGGCCTTAGTTTATTTTGAGTGATTGATTGGTTGATTGATTATTTAATCATAGGTTAATTGATATTAACTGACAGAAATATGAAGTATTCAATGAATGTATGTTGTTTCGTTTTATACAGGTCCTGTAGTAAACACAATTATGAAAAGATTGTGTATCAGTTCTAAAGTCATGCAATAGACATGTCTCTATTGAATTATTTAGTTTTTTAAGTATACTTCAGCTTTTATTTTCATCTTAGATGATTAGTCACCTCTGCTGGGTTGATGCTTGACACTAATTCGGAGAGATTCGATTGAGGCTTTCTAATTCACTTCATTTGTGGCGTAGACAGGATAGTTGTCTGCTAATCAAAAGGCTAATATTCTGCACAATAGACCTATTTTGGTGGTACTCTGTGACTAAAGTATACCCTATAAAATTAGATATACTTAGGCTGCAGGTGTCTTCGAAACATTCTTTGGGTATTTTTAGAAAAGATGTCAATCCGGCTGATGGGGTAATAAGTCTAAAGACTCATACTGAGGTAGTTAGTACATGTATTACGTGTTCCTAACCATTACCTCTTCTACGGGCGGTGTTGGTTGATTGATGTCGGAATACATTTGAAAAAACTTAGGGCCAACCATATCAAAATGTGGTATTATTTACCTTGAAGCCACTGATTGTTGGTCTAAGGCATGTTAAGAAAAGAAGACTATCTGTTTGTTTTATTCATGAGTACTACACTTAGTGATTTGAAACATTAGATGATGTGTTTTACAATCGCCCGCATTGGTATGAATACACTTATTCCTTACCTTTATCTAGATATTGAATTCTGTTGTTCCTTCATACATCTATTTTAATTCTTTCTTTTCAAACCATTCTCTCAATAATGAAGAATATTTTAGTGAACAATTGTTTTCAATTATCAGGCTCTACAGTTATAAGTTAAGGCATATATTAATGAATTTGACAATGTTATGTGTTAAAAATGATGAACGTTTGCATTCTCTCAATATTTAATCTTTTTTTTTCTTTTCATTAGCGTTACTTTATTTCGATCCCTTCTGAATGTTTGTGCATTAAATTTACTCATTGTAGACAGATTTTTGCTCTACTTATCATCAATTATTGATTCATCTTATTAGGAATCCATGGAACTTTGGATTATCTTATTATATATTGTTGCTTAATACAGTTATATTAGTCAGTTTCACGTTGAACGATAATGAAAGCATTATGATATGGTTTTATTCGTCTTATAATACTAGTTTTTCTCATGGAAGTATAACGTAGAATCAGATTTTAAAGGTTATATTTAATTAATAGATTTGTTCTATATTAGAATCTTACTTAATAGTTATGACATAACGTCAACAGTAATGAGTTCTTTTATTTTGATAATGCAATCGTTATCAATGTTCTTTCCTATTTCAGAATCCTTACCCTTTTGTTTCTTTTTTCTAACTTTACTCTATGATGTTATTTACAGCTCCCGGTGGTGAAGCTGGCTGTGATATTTCCCAAATACCGTGTCGTGTATGCAGTGGTCCATCTTCCGGTTTTCATTTTGGTGCATTAACATGTGAAGGTTGCAAGGTGAGTATCGATTTCTTTCAAGTATTATTATTATTATTATTATTATTATTATTATTATTATTACTATTTCTATTATTATGACTGTTATTTGAAATAGTTTGAGTACTATTTTTTTAAATTTTTTAAACCATGGAATGCCGACTCAGTGATCTAAAGGTTACAAGTCTTCAAGGTCATCAATTTACTCTTCTGAGTAGTCTCATACCGGAACGAAACAACTGGTTATAAGTTGCTGTTTAATGATAATCATTATATGATGTTTTCCATCAAATGAACTTTTATGTTCTATTTTTATCCTTTATGTACTAATGGTTTTTTTCTTAAGGTCATTTCTAGTGCAAAAACATGACCTTTGTGTTTTAATGATGACCTTTTTATGAATTAACTGTGCCTTTGTATGCTTATATGTTTGTATATGTCGTTAAATGTTTTATAGTCGTTGTTTATCATCAATTTGTCTTATTATCTGGGTCAATAAATGAACTCATTGTGAAAAATGTGGAGTAGATTTTCATTGTTCTGATAGACAAAGAGACTAGATAATTGACATAACCTTGACCCAGGCGAAAGATTTTTTCTACGTAAATTATCGTGGTTAGATGTACTTTCGTTATGAATGAATTCATTAGTATTGAACTGATAAATATCATGACCTTGTATAGATAATGAGTCCGGATCTGAGGTTGGAACAAATAACGAATATTATAATTGTCCAATGAGATTGAAGAGTGTCGTGATCAATTGTTTAAACTAAACAATCACAATACGTTGAATTTCAATGAGTATTTCATTGTATTTTCTTCACTTATGTACCAACTCATAAGATTAAGTATTTTGAATTAATAATATGCTTTGGAATTAATGAAATGCATCAGTCAGATGGGACCATATTTTATGGGTGACTTATAAGCGACGCTAATGTGACCTTAGGGGGATTCAATTTGATACTAGGTCTTAATGAAGGTTATAAATTAATGCAAGGAATTAAGGTTAGAATTTACTGTTGAACATTAGAATTAGGGTTTTCATCACTGAACTGTTGTCATAATTAATGCTGTAGAATACTCTTTCACATTAGGTATATATTTACAATATTCAGTCTATTAATTTCATTTACACCCATGATATACTTTACAAATATGTCTTCAATATAACTTCCAAACAAACCCTCTCATGTAAGCAATTTAAACCCATTATGTAATGATGGTTTTAAATATCACAGGTTGTTTGTTGTTTGAACACATGAATATTGGTACAAGAGAGCGCCAATATATATGCTCCACACAAAACAATGAGAATTCGAAGAGAAATAAGAATTAAAAAAGAACTAAGGAGCGCAAAAGAGAAAAAGAAAACAATAACGAAGAGATTGGTGTAAGGTAGTGTGGTAGTAACGAGGGAACGGAAAGGTACAATCCGTACAATCCGTAAGCTGCTGACGAGAACCTACGAAATAAAATGAATTCATGCTATTCTGCTAGAATGTTTGTTCTTGCTCTTTTCAAAATTATAAAGGGAACTATGTGTATAAAAAAATAGACTAGAATATTTACTTTCACCCTTTGTTATCAAAGGTTAAATGAAGATTAACCATGGACTTTTTTTAAAACAAATGTCAGATTGATTTCTTCTAATTGCCATGGCTACAACAAATGTTAATATTAGCTTAAAGTTAGATTGTTTGTTAATTACTTCGAATGTATTAATTGTATTCACTTTATGCTCCATGTCTAGCAAGTGACATACTGTCAAACTACAAGGACTATTTTCTCAGAGGCTTAAGTTCTTGAAAATATGTTCAGTAAAACACCTATCTTTCCAATGTACATGATTTTTGTCGTGTACTTGTATTTTCTTTTATATAGTAGAAGATTTTTTTCCAAATATACCCGTTAATTCACAAGCCAAACAACTGATGGATTTATACTAATTCATAATTTAATTATAATAAACAATGTTATGTTGTTTAATCCTCCATGGTGATTGATTCCTCTTGATCGAATTATTGTATATGTTCACAGATCTAAATGATTCTATACCACGTTGAACTTTGTTCTTAATGTTAGATTATTATAGATGTTTAAAAAGGAAATCTTTTCGCCTACTGTTGATTGATAATCACTTTATGAAGATATATTTTATAATGATTTTTTAGACCATGGTAATTGTAGGGTTCGAATCCGTATTACCTAGTTACTATAATTTGTAGCTTATATATCTGTGATATACTTTAATATATGAATTTTCTCTCAAATTTTCAACCATAGAATTAAGTTAATCATTGTGTCCAAACCTAATCAAATTGTTCTTAGTGTAGTGTAGTATAGTATAGTGTGGTCATGAAGTGAAACGGATACATATCATTAATCGTTCTCGGAACATTCACAAACTTGACAAAATTTCATCAATAATCCCTAAGTAGAAAATGTTCACTTTTTTCTTTTCTTATCTCACTTATATAATTATTTTTTTATTATTTTAATCATTATGAAATAATTAATCGATTTGGTTATTTAATTTACGCACGATTAAATAGAATTATTTTGTCTATTTACGTTTTGCATCATTGGTTTTGTTACTTAGTAAAGAATATTTCAACTTTCGAAATGAAAAACAAACAAATCAATTCTATCAGAAAGGGAGTTTGTAGAGTTTGTATTCATTTAATTGTTAAATTCATGAGTTGATTGTGGATGCCCACTGCTGAGGAATCCTATACTAGGACGAAACGGCTTCCAGATTTTCATTGGTGATCTAGCTTCAGTTGACTCATGAATTCAAATATTAGATAAATTGTCAGTTAGTGGTCTTGAGTGCTGTTAGAGGTATCAGGGCGGTTATCACTTCCCGGTTGCCAACACCATGGAAGGGTTCTTTTGGAAGTACCTGCAAACGAAATTGGACTAAAGGTGGTTATAGTGACCTGAGAGCGTGAGCTCAGTGCCCAAGAGACAACTGCTTGAGGTTGGTCACACACGACCTTTCTGTGAGTACTTTTCGTGTTAGCTCCCTACTTGTTGAGACCTTACCTCCGGAGACGGATATCCGTGGGATAAGGCGAGGTATGCACTTTTAGGGTCGACCCTTTCTAATCTCACTCCTGTATGTGGGAAGGCAGCATCGCTGTTAAGCTGGTTGTCTGAAGGAAACACTTTACTGCCGTCACAACTCTGTACAGTCAGCAGTACGACTTCGCCCTCAGACCTTGGGTTTGTTGCTTTTAATGTTACCGCTCTTCAGCCGACCTGTCCAGTATAGCTCGATTCGTTCATTACGATAGGCTAATCCGACCACCACGTCAAGGTAGTACACATGTCTAACTATTATTTACGCCTATATATAATTCATGGTATTGTAATGTTGAATAGGTTATTAAAAAATCTAGGAATGAATAAATCAAGACATAGTCTTATTCTGTGAATGCTATTGAATTTTAGTGTGAAAAAATTACAGAAGGTTCAGATCAATTGGTTCGAATCTATGGAATAACTGTAATCGATTATATCATAACATAACTTATGGTTTGTTACAGTCGCTGAGATTCATCCATTCTTTATATTCCTTCTCCTACTTTCATACTTGTCAATTTTAAGTCATACTTTCATCTCTCATGTTTAGCTTTCTTTCAATTCTCAGCTTGTTTATATTTGTTCTAGTTCAGTACTCTTTAATAGTGGACACTCACAATCCCAGCAAATGTAGATCTCAGCACCTTCATGTTTCAAGGTAACTGTCTAGACTTCAAACTGTTTGTTCGGAATCTAGTGTTCCACAATTCCAACGTCAGTCAGCGTCATGGGTATTGATGTTGTTGTGTTAGCGCATTTAATACTATTTAGAAAGCATTCATAGTAGCAATAGTAGTTGTTTTTGTTCATGTAGACATTAGTAAAAATCTTTCATTGAAGTATCATGCTTAGTAAATTATTTTTAAGACGATAAACATCAAGTCAAATATAACCAAATTGTATTTTGCCTTATGATATTGCTTTACATAATTTTTTTTAAACTCCATATATGTATCATTGTTTTAGATGTTTTTCTTTCTAAAATATTTATAGTAAGTTACCTGGAGACTAATAGCTTTAATATATGCTCTTACCTGCCGTCATTTTCATTATTGATAAGTGTAGTTGAGCTTTTTAGAAAAATATAAGATATTAATGAGAAGACGAATATAACTAATTGTGAGAAATATTATGCTGTGGAATATCTACTACTACCATTAGACGAATTCTAACGATTAATAATTTTATGATTTACCTCTAATCATCGAACAAAATACATCGTGATTTCAAATCTCTCAGTCCAACACAAGTTGGCAGAGCAGAGTTCAAACCTGAGATAGTGGCTAAAGGTCAGGCACATTAACAACTGAGCCATCGTTTCTGTTTAACGGTAAAGTTTTTTTTTTAACTGTCACACAATTCGATATCAGTTCGGAATTTCTCTATGGCATACATTTTTTTTGTCAATAGTAATGCAATCATTGAGAATCAAAAAGCACTTGATAGCTGTTTCATCTTAGCATGAAACGCATCAACGATTCAAATTCACAACCTTATCGAGGATAGAACCTAGGACCTTCAAGTTTCGTGGTGAATGCTTAAGTTTAAGACTAGTGATTTATAATTCAATGGTTTACATACTTGAATTCAATTCTCATTTCCTTTTTTATAATCCTTTGCATAAATGAACAATTTCATATAAATTTCTACTTACTTAATAATGATGTTGTTTAATACTTGTTTTTGCACAAGAATCATAAACTTCACTAAGTTTGTTTCATTACATTTTCATTTCCACTTTTCTACTACATTTTTTTTCTTACTTTTAGGGTTTCTTTCGACGAACTGTCTTATCCAATGTTCGTTTAGAATGTCTTGGCAATAATGATTGTCCAATTACACCAGCTAATCGAAATATGTGTAAAAGTTGTCGATTTCAACGTTGTCTAGCAGTTGGCATGTCTAAAACTGGTTAGTTGTTATTTCACTTTCCATATATATATATATATATTACGTATGAATGACCATTTATTTGAAATCAATAATTGAGGTAATTATTCGTAGACTTAGAACAGATTATGAACAATATATTTTCTCTTACCTACTTTTTAACATCTTATAATATATGTAGAATAGATGGAATGTGGTAAGTAGTGGAATTCAAAGTGTGCATTTCGTCTTACTTGGGTCTCATCAACTGCTAGCTACTCTTTATTTGTTCTATACAAACATGTATAATAATGGATATATTGAGGCAATGCACACAGGATGCATATATATCAATCAAAACTCTGATCAAATTCCAATCAAAAATAAGATAACTGAAACTATGAGAAATTAAATTTGATAGTATATTGTTTCTATGATTATTTTTGTAGTTTTAGCAATTACACAATGGCTTATGTAGTGAAATTTTAGTTAAATAGTTCGTATTTTCTAGTGGTCTTCCATATATAGTCAAGTATACTCAGCTGATTATTATTTCGAAACCCTTTACAAATGATAAGACTATTAGTTGATAAAATTAACTTGTACTTGGTAATCAATTTACATGTTAACTTTATTGTATAAACTTGTAGGAACGATGTAACATTGTATTGATTATGTTACCTTATGGTAATAATATTCTACTCTTCTTCATAATCGATAATGGGGATTTTGGAATATTGAAAAGATTACAATTGATTGATCAATGAGTAGTAGTCAGTGTTATTTACTTCAAGTCCTTAATGCAGATTGAATTGCAATGTTTTCATTAGACTACTAAACGACTGGAAATCACGTGCACTATGTTGAGATGTAATCAACAGGAAAACTTGTACCTAGGTTTCTAACTATTTGACACTCGTCAACCAGGTGTACATGTAACAAATTTCAAATACATCTCAGTCCTGCAGGAGGTTAGTCGCAGCTTGAATTGCTCATTAGTAACGTCTCTAACTGTGAAGCTGGGTGAAACGGGATCCGATCCATTAGGGATTATCAGTTCCCTAAAGATTAAAGGTACACCTTATTGATGAGTGCAAAATAGCACGAAACCTAGGTACAGGGTTTCTTATTGACACTACCTCCAACTACTTACTTAAATACTGGAAAGTATTGTAACTCAGTCGGTTGTTTTTCCCACTGAAAATTTTTTTTGTTATCATTCTGGATTCGATCATTACTGCTTACTTCCAATCAAACACGAAACTAAGAGAACGCAAAATTACTGAAAACGATAGACATCGTTGTTTTCTGGTTCTGTTACTTGACTAACAGACCATAAATTCTAATCCATTCCTCATATTTAAATTTCTAGTTTGTTCCATCAGCTGTCGTTATGATCTACTGCTGTTAATGCACGCAAGCCTATCCAATATAATCAATAGAAAGATTTCATCCTAGTTGGCGACCGTTGTTCGTCAGCTGTATATATATATATAACCAATCATCATAGAATACTGATGCCTCAAATCTAAATAAACTAATTTACCCTTCTAAAGATTACACTCTAACTAAATTTCTAGTTGCTAAGTCATATTTGTTAACTGTTTCAGTTTTACAGTTTATAGACTATAATATCAGCCTTTTCCAAATAAACTTTTCTAAAAAAAGAAAGAAAGAAATGCACACAATATTCTGTTTAAACACAACTTAATGGTATAGAAGATAACATTTTTCAAATACATTTTGTTACACTGAATGTTTTTACTGTATCAGTATAAAATGAGAACTCTTATTTGTTACATATATATCCATATACGTTTTTTTTCTTATATAGAATAGAGGAAAAATAAGGTTATTGTATGTAGCTATAGGTACATAGGTTCGAAATGTAGACATTTTAATGTCGGATAGTTTATTCTCTCCTTTCTTCTTCTTCTTCTTCTTCTTCTTCTTCTTCTTCTTCTCTTTTATTCTACTAGTTGTATCATTCATTAATTATTATATTGTCTTAAAAAAACTTTAAAAAAAACACAACATATTCCGTCAACAATTTAAACCATGTTATACAAACATGTGGGAATAAATACAAATAAAGTTGGCTTGATCGACTAACTATTGGATGGGATATATATGTAGGAATGTATATTGGGATAAACTATGTGTGTAGTCTTTTATCATTTCTCAATATGTAATGAAGTGTCATTGATCGAATTATAGTAGTATGTCTATAGTTTCATTTCTTCTTTTTTTCATTCTTTTCTGTCTCCTTTTTTTGTTTGTTTGTTTATTTGTTTGAAGAACCATTGAAAACTAGAAAAAAAAGTAGTAAAAACATATTTTGTTTTAATATGAAATTTTAAAACAATATCGGACAATGGAACAGTTCCTTATGTATTGAATCTGATGAATTTCCGTTTTGTGTGTGTGTGTGTGTTAAGAGCTAGATAGTTTTAGTTTTGTATCACTAGCTTTCAGTTACCTTTCAAGTATGAAGGCTAGTGGATGGTACTTTGTTGTTCGAACCGTAATAGATGGAGAGCAAGAACAAAGATTGGTGCAGAATAATAAGTGGATTCATTTTATTTTGTTAGGTGCTCATCAGCTGTTTACAACCTAAAATATTTGAAAATCAGAGTTATTACAGATATTGACATACTTATGCATAAGAGGGTGATTATGTATGTCTATATGTGTCATGATGTAGCGAAGATTCCAATAGAGTTAATGAGGTCATAAAATGTTGTTTCAAATAAATAAAGTTTGGGAGGAAAGGTTCCAGAACGCTGAAATAGTGATTAGAACTCATGGAATTAAAAACCCAGATGATTATGTAATGAAGTAACTGAAAATAGATTAATGGTAGTAAAGAAGGATATGAATTGAAATCAGTCATTTATGAATGATGTAATTCTAAAAATTCAGAAAGAGTTGGACTAGTGAGTGACGTAATAAATAAATAAATAAATAAGGGGGGGGTAATGTTATCATGGCAAAGAAAGCTTTTTTTATTTATTTTAACACATAGATATTCGTACAAGGAGACACCAAATACATATACACCACACAAATCTCATTTGATATATTTGAGGGCTGTGATACTGACCGGGTGCCTAAACCGAAGCAGGTGGTTATCTTAGGGGGTCACACCCGGAGCCTTCGACATGAAGGTCTGATCCACAAGGCAGTGGAGCATCGTAAGGAGATGCAGTCCCATGGTACCCGGTGACCAAAGATTGGTTCATACGCCATTTGTTCCTTCAGTATACTGGAGTCCATGTGCAACATTTGTTTGGAATGAGGGTTTTCCAACTCCCCTAGGTGAACTCTCCATGTCCACCAAACCGGTTAAAGCACCGGACATTCGTTTTCGTACTCTCGATTTCGTAAACAACAGTGATGCCGTGAGAAGGCAGTGAGTAGGACTTCTCTGACAGAGGCTATATACGCGTAGCCATGTGAGAACATTTGGAGAGGGAGAGTGGACTCTCCCTACTCTCGTCCATATCAGGGCATTTGCGGGCTGGCAAAGAAAGATTTATTACTTTTTCTTTTTATATACATAGATCTAGTTTTAGGCGTTTGATTGGTATCGCTTTGGCAAATTTCAAAAGATTTGAGTTTGATTGTTTGTTAGTTACCTTAAAGGACTTCAGTTTATCGACTTCGTGTCCTGTGTCAAGGAGATTTCTTGCGATGGCACTGCTGAATGCTTTTAGTACTTTTGATCCTAAACTCTTCGGAATATGTTCTTTGAATCGAACGTACGCTCTCCTTTCTGTTCTACTAATGTAACTGCTTTGGCAGATACATGTAAATTTTTAATAGATGAAGTGGCATTCGAAACCGCCACTTAGTCTCTAAAAGTTGAATACAATAATTACTTATCCTTAGTTTCATATAATAACAGATCGAAACAAGTATGTATTCAGTAGATATATTATAACAGTTTTTCTTGAGAAATTTACTTTTAAAGAAGAATGTTACTAAACTCAAAGGGCTCTAGTTGTTCCAAAAGTTTAACTTACTATAGACATGTATATGTGCGTGCATTTTCTTCTCAATACATATTGGTCTCTTTGTTCAGGTATGGATACACAATACTAAGTGTTTTAAACATTATGGTTTTAACGCATTATAGTACTGTATCATTACATTTACTGGTTAGCCATTGTTAAATAACATTATTACGCTTGGTCCTTAGTAAATTAAACAATAGATAACTTTATATGTCATGTAGGTTTTTATGCTGTTTCTTCCCCCCTCTCCGTTCTGAGATATCTGTATCCTAAATCATATTACATTATCTATCGTTATCATGCTTACTTAATTACTTACTTACGTCTGTTACTCCTCTTGGAAAAGCGTATGTCGTCCACCAGGATAATAATTTTGCGTTATGTTATGAATGTCAGACAGCACTTATAACCTACCGATGTGTTATATTAATTGACAAATCACCGTAGAAATCTTGCTTTATTTCATAATGTGTGTGTTGGTACAACCTAATTTATTGGTATGTAATGAAGCAGAACAAAATGTCACAGTGTAATTACTATTCATATGAAATCACCTATACAAACACTATCTAATGCTCTCATTTCGATTGCTATATGCATTTGTCTTCTTTTTGATATCACGAACTGACCTAGCCGGACAACAATTGAAAACTTGCGATCATTGAACAGCTGTTTCGTCCTAGTATGGGAATCCTTAACAATGGGGATTCGAAAAGTCTTTTTATGATCTCAACAAAATTCAGTAATCTCTATAAGTCATCCTACTGTTAATTATCATGTGAACATTAGTGACTTACTTTCAAGGGAATTTTCCGGAGTTCACTAGCATACTTTATCTAACTTTGTCCTGGACAATCCTTTCCAGTTGCTTCCAATTCTCGACTCAATGTATCTCTTAGTCTTCCTCTTTTTCGTTTCGCTTCAGGATTTTCAGGTATTTAAAAGTTTCCACCCGTTTCAGAGTTTCTCCATCAAGTGTGATTGGATTGGTGTTCTTCGTGTTGTATCTGAGGATGATGCTTTTTCCCTTGTGTATGTTGAGGTCTACTCATACAGAAACTTCTGCCACACTGGTTGTCTTGATTTGTATTTGTTGGTATGTATCGGATAGAAAGACTAGATCGTTTGCAAAGTTCAAATTGTCTAGTTGCATCCAAGCTGTCGATTGTATTCCGTGCTTCCCGTCAGCTATGATAGTCTTCATAATCCAGTCAACCACCAAAAGAGAAAGGAAAAGAATAAACAACCTTGTCTAACTCCGATCCCCACTTCGAATTCGTCTTTCAGTTTTCCTTTATAAATGAACTATTGAAATGCACTTGGAATAATTACTAATTGTTAATATCTAAATTAAACAAGTTTACTTGTATCCCTTTTTAACTGGTTAACCATTATAATAAGGTTAATGCTTCATTATTTACTATGAGGCTGATATTGTAGAGATTTATGTAATAATAACAATAGTATATAAACTAAAGCTTTTTCTTGACTTATCTTTCAATAGTAACTAGTTGTTGGAGATCGTAGTTCATTGAATAATTTTGAACTGGTTATTGGATGTTTCAAAATGGAAAGTTTTATTGAATGAACTATCATTCTTAATTCTGACCAATATTATAATCTAAACATTTTCAAATATCTAGATTTTGTCTATAAAAGATTAATTTTATTTCCAATACACTTTTTTAATATTACAAATTGTAATAGGAATCAATGGTTTAATAGTTAAAACACCTGATCAATAAATCACAGATTTCAAGCCCTCTACACCTTATTATTGATCAGTCAGTTAGTGTCACTGTTTGTCACATACAAGTATCATGGTTTAAAGCCATGTACTTCGTAAATGTCTTGTATTGTCCAACCCTTCCAGTTTACTCACAAACAACATTGACTAGAGTTGCTCAGTATAACTGATTGACTGAGGTTTCAGGAAACAAACAATCACTGACCAACTAACAGAATCATAATTTTCGTTAATATATAGAATGTTTTATGAATTACTTATCAAGTGATAAGGAATTAGTAAGGGTCAACAATAAAGACTGAATAATAGTTAACATGGTTTGACTTTTGCTTATTTTTGTTAAATCAATATATCTTAGTGCTTTAAACTCTTGGATTTCAACCAAAAGCTTTCCCTATCAAGTTCGGTATAAGCAGCCATCACAAATAGATAGTGTTACTCAAATTCACTCTTGTATTGTTTGTTTGATTCCTCCTATTGATGTGTAAGACTGCAATTAATCAGTCACTTATTGGCATATGTGTATCCTGTGCTGATTGCCTAGATATTGCCTTTAGCATCGAGTAAGTAACGCAGTTGTTAGGAAACGGGTACTAAGTAAGGATGGCAAATCCATTGGCGAAGTAGTGAAACTTCATCAGTTGAGATCGCTGGTACACGTGTCACGTATGCCCGACGACCGACTGCCTCGACGTGCGATGTTCAGTGGTATAGAAGTTGGTTGGAGGAAAGCGCACGTTTCGTCCTATTTGGAACTCATCGGTTGGATATACATGCATCCCAGAGTTGATATTCACTGCTCTTCAAACGCCATCGCTACTAAGTTCAGATAGCCACTAGCTCATGGTTTTGGGTAGATGATTTTCTTCTTTTACTACCTTCAAGTTAATGTTCATCATCAACAAAGTTAACAATTTCATCATGAACTAAATCAACCTACTACTGCTATCTATGTATCCTATTGAGACTACCTTTTTATCTATAATCTTGGGTTATTAATTCCTTCTCTTCCAATTCAGTAAATGGATGTTAACAAATATCTTCAGTAATAATTTCAAACTTCACTGGATTATACTCTTTAAATAACATCTCCAAACCCTAATCTTCCCGATTACTGTTTATACTCTTACTACCTCTACCACTACGGGATTTGAATCGACAACTGCATCTCTGTGCTAATGTGGTATGGCAACTCGAACTGATGCACGTACGTACGAAGTTCTACGTTGTTACCGACTGACTGAAAAATATCACATTTCTATGTGTTTATTCTGAACTGCTTTTCTTATTTATTTATTTTTCCGTTTATTGTGTTTATTTTTTTCTATTCTTCTTTTTCTTCTTCTTCTTCATTTCAATGGAACATTTGTGTATTACTTATTTTAAAACTGACCTTGACCGAGTATTATGTGTTTTTAAACTAGAATATGGAAATTTTTGTGTATGTTGGTTAATATTATGACTGTTTTTTATTGAGGTTAATAATTTCAAAGTATATTATAGCTTATATGTATATATAATTCATTGTGAAATGCAAACACACTCTTAGTAAATTTGACGTATACATGCTTACTTACACGCACATTTTGGCATTCTTAAGTTAGTTTACATTCTTTGATTATTATTATGATTAGTAGTAGTAGTAGTAGTAGTAGTAGTAGTAGTAGTAGTAGTAGTAGTAGTAGTAGTAGTAGTAGTAGTAGTAGTAGTAAGTAGTTTTGGTGTTGTTGTTTTATTTTTGTGTTCTAACTCTTATATGTTCCTAATAAAGGAATCAAATAAAGTTTGTTATTATTATTGTTATTGGAACTTTTAACTAAGTCAATCAATAACGGTCGGGTTATCGGACAGCTTTTTAAGTTCTTATTAACTCTTATTGTTGTTTTCATATTCTGATACTTGATCATTGTGTAGTGTACGTATGTATATATATATGTGTGTATGCTATTTAGTGTACATGTTGGCTTTTTTGTAGTCCATTATTATAGTAAACAACAAGGTTATTAATAGAAATTATGTTAAACATTGAACCAACTTAGTAATAGGTGTATAATTGAATTATTCGATTTTATTTTGTGTACTGCATAGACGGGATTTTGAATGAGTAATCAATCATTGAATTATTTTGTGGTTTACATTACGGACTGACCGTAGATAAGGCAGGCAATGAATATCAAAGTATTTGGTAGTTGTTCCTCTCTCTTGTATGGAACTCCTCAACGGTACACACTACGATTTCGCTAGCGGTTTAACCCAGGACCTTCAAATGTCGAGACAAATATTCAACCTTTAGATCATTGAGTTCGCATCAAACGATTTACATTTCTAACTTTAATCATCTTTTGATATTGCAAAACCATCTTTCAATATTGTAATGTCTAAACTCTATTGGTCACGAATTTTCACTTACACCCCTGAAGCAAGTCATTAGCAAACACACTATATTAATTTTGTTATGTTTTTTTTGTGGTTTCGGTCCCCATGGTTATCCACAACTGATGTTAATTCGTGACGAATATCACCTACAAATGTATTTCAATCTATTCCCCTATTTATTTACGCTGAATATGTTGACTAGATTTTCCTGTGTTATTTCTTAATTACAGGAAGTCGTATTGGTCGACAACCTAATGCAATTAAATATTATTGTGCTCGCGAAATTTCCCAATTAACTAATTCTAATGATTGTGAAGCAACCACAACTATGAATCCATCTTCAAGTTCATCAAATAAACATGAATCTAACCGACGTAATTCAGTTAGTCATAGTAGTACTAGTAGTGGTACTACAAATCTAAGTTGTAACATCAGCAATAATGGTAATAAAAATAATAATATTACTGCTAATCATGATGATAATAATCATAGCAACAGTAAGAATAATAATCTTAATGAACATGATTTATTGTCAATTGCTGAAGAACATTGTAGATCAGTATTAGGTCAATCAAATTATCCATCATCTAGTTGGCCTTCATTTAAACGTATGATGTCTAATCTTGATCATTTGGATTCAATTAATAACACTACTATCGCCAATACAACCACCGTCTCCATAACAACAACAACGACAACAACAACAATAATATCGACAACTGGAGTATCTTTAGTTCCATCAAGTATTCCTTTAACATCAACATCTACAGTAAATCATTTCATTGAACACAGTAATCATAATTATAACGAGTTACAAAATAGTGGTGATTCGTTGAAAAATGGATCTTTATTATCTTTATCACCGTCTTCATCTACATCACCATCGTCAGGGATTAAAAGTCATATAAAGTATAAGACAGATACACGTCCACAATATCTTAATTCTCAGTCACGTCCTTTTCATCATTATCCTCCGCCACCACCGCCTCCTCATCATCCTGCACAATCATCTATTTCTCAGAACAATTGTTTTAATAACAATAATGTTGGTATGAGTGGTAGCAATAATAATATTGCTAATGGTGTCGTCCTTCTCTCTGGCCGTGCGGATTCAATTTTACCTTCTTCTACTTCCAATGGTGCTAGTCATGGTAGTGATTATCTTTTAATTGATCCTTCAAGAAATATTACTAAACGACGTAAAACAATACCGTCTGAAATAGATGTTAACTTAGAGATCTCTGATAATAGTATTACATCTTCTAAATTAACACCTATTAATTCAGTACACATACATGATGATGATGATGACGTAGATGATGAAGGCTGCGATCATGATGATATTGATGATGTTAATGATAATGTTGAGGACGTTGAAAATGGCAATTCTACTAGTGGTTCTAATGGTAATGAACATTTAAATCAACGTTACAGTCATAGACATCAACAACAATATCATCATCCTGTACACCAAGCTGTACATCATCGTCACCAACAACAAAACCGTCGTAACGCGGACTTGACAAGTTTGAATGAAGAGAATATCCATAATGTTATCGGTTCTGTTCATAATGATTTGGATATCAGTAATAGTTGTAGAAGTAATAATAATAATAGTAGATATGAGAAACTTGTAGATAGTGGGAAAATTCATAACATATCAGTGGATAATTTCTCATTTATTAATCAATCAAGGCATTTATCGAATCAAATTAACTTGCCAAATGATAATGAACATAATATAAACATTAATAATAATGAGAATTGTTCCACTGTACTTGAACAATTACAATTTAGAAAGTGAGTTTTGTGAATTGCTTTATCTATTTTTGAGTATTCTGGTTTTAAAAAATGTTTGAAATGTTTTTCTTCTGCAGTATACAAATGGTTGGTTTGTTTGTTTGTTTGTTTGTTGTTTTTATTTCAACTGATAGTTTAATGTTATACTATTAATAAGTCTACTGAATTCCTGAACTAAACTACTAATATTTTTTTATAGATAACCTGAAGATAGTGGTATTATCTCTTAAAGATACTAGGTGTAAATTATGTAACCAGATTACAGTTTCTGTTATCACGATCATGTGATATATTTTTTTGTAATGATGACGACCGATCTTTATTTTGACAAGGTTATGTAATTAATATGTTTGTTCATTGAATTGACGCACTTTATTAGTTGAAGGTTGTTTCTCTTGTAGCATTTAACACTTAATATTGAATTACATGTGATTATAAAGTAACAGATATTGATTAGTACTTGCATTGATGATACCTTACAAAAGTATCGTGTGTATCCTATTTCCTTTTGAATTATTGGCAAAGTTCATTAAAATTGATATTTCATAGTTCCACATAAGTCGTAAGATGGATTAAACTGAAAAATCGAAGTAAAGACCGGTATCAGGCAAGGTTGCTTACTCTCACTCTTTCTCTTTCTCCTGCTGATCGACTGGATCATGAAGACGTCAACATCTGACGGGAAACACGGGATACAGTGGACATCTAGAATGCAGCTGGACGATCTAGACTTCGCAGATGATCTAGCTCTTCTATCCCAAACGCAACAACAAATGCAGAAGAAGACGAACAGTGTAGTAGCAGCCCCAACAGCAGTAGCTCTCAATACAGACAAAGGGGAAAGCCAGATTCTCCGATACAACACAGAATGCACCAATCCAATCACAATTGACGGAGAAGATTTGAATGATGTAAAAACCTTTACATATTTGGGCAGCATCATTGATGAACACGGTGGATCTGATGCAGATATGAGGGGGCGGATCGGCAAAGCAAGGGTAGCATATTTACAACTGAAGAACATCTAGAATTCAAAACAACTGTTCACAAGCCAACACCAAAGTCAGAATTTTCAATAGAAATGTCAAAACAGTTCTACTGTATGGGGTGAGAACCTGGAGAACTACGAAAGCCTTCATCCAGAAGATACAAATGTTTATTAACAGTTGTCTACGCAAAATACTTCGGACCCTTTGGCCAGACATTATTAGCAACAACCTACTGTGTGAGAGAACAAAACACAATCGAGTGGAGGAAGAAATCAGGAAGAAGTGATGGAAGTGGATAGGACACATATTGAGGAAAGCACCCAAGTGCATCACAAGACAAGCCCTCACTTGGAATCCTCAAGGCCAAAGGAAGAGAGGAAGACCAACGAACACATTGCGCCGGCAAATAGACATAGACATGAGAAAAATGAATAAGAATTTGATGGAACTAGAAAAGTCCTAGGACAGAGTGGGATGGAGAATGCTGGTTGGCGGCCTATGTTCGATTGGGAGTAACAAGCGTAAGTAATTAAGTAAGCATAAGTCGTAAGGTTTGGATGATTTATAAAGACATGAGCTTCTAATTGGAATTTTCACAGGTCACTATTTCATGGGGAAAAAAGTATTATTTCTTAAACCATATGGCTTTTACTACTACACCTGCTTCAGTTTGAACAATCCCGGGTAGGTGATCATACTAATTGTCAACTTCACTTGCTGTCTTTTTTCTATCATGTAGAACACTGTATATGAAAAAGTTAACAACTTGATCAATAAAATTCTATCCAATTATAATATCGGGTATTATTTATACATCCGTGTCAATGTAAAAATCACAATCTTACATAATCAGAATGGGTTTTGTGGAGATTTTAGAAATTTCACGGATTGAAATCATGAGTCAGATGAAGCTCGACCACCATTGAAAACCTGGAAGCACTGGACGGCCGTTTCGTCCTAGTATGGGACTCCTCAGCAGTGCGCATCCACGATCCCGCACCACGCGGGGCTCGAAATCAGAACCTACCGGCTTTGGGCGCGAGCACTTAACCACTAGACCACTGAGCCGGCATCCAACGGTGTTAATGTCTAACTTCAACCGATCCACGAAGTTGCGCCACCGTACACCATTGTCTTCAGTGAGTTGTTATCTCACAACAGACCGGTTGAACTCCACTGGTAACGGCTTCTCACTAGAACTTCGGAAGTTTTTCCTGAAGTCAGTCACTAGTGAGCATATGTTGATGAATATCAGAGTGGGTTTTGTGGAGTTCAACCAGGTCTGTTGTGAGATAGGAACTCACTGAAGACAATGGTGTACGGTGGCGCAACTTCGTGGGTCGGTTGAAGTTAGACATTAACACCGTTGGATGCCGGCTCAGTGGTCTAGTGGTTAAGTGCTCGCGCGCAAAGCCGGTAGGTTCTGATTTCGAGCCCCGCGTGGTGCGGGATCGTGGATGCGCACTGCTGAGGAGTCCCATACTAGCACGAAACGGCCGTCCAGTGCTTCCAGGTTTTCAATGGTGGTCTAGCTTCAACTGACTCATGATTTCAATCTGTGAAATCCTACATAAGTTAGTCAGTCCACCAATCGTGGGAATGAATAGCTCAGTGGTAAATTTTCTAAATGTAACACTGAATGACATGGATTTAAATTTTATACAAAATATTACACCTTTCAAGATTACAGTTTAACTCACTGATCAATGTCCACTAAGACGAAACATAGATGAATATTTTCAATCACTAAATATCTATATGACAATATCTCGACGATGAATTAACGTCGTATCTGTGGCCTAATAGGAAATAATCAACTGGTGTAATCTTCATTGATAATTCGGATTATTAAGAGAGTATAGCTTGATTTTAGTTTAATAAGTAAATTCTGTTTTGATCAATTAATTAGTTAATCAAATGCGACGTAGAACTTGGCACATGCATACATCAGTTCAGGTTAGCTTACATAGGGATGAAATTGTTCCTTGAAGAAGAGGAACGAATATCAAGGTTTTTTTTCCTAAACACTATGAGATTATTCATCCTTCTTCAATATCAAATATACGGTATTAAGCACTTTGTAGTATTTTTTCCTCATTTATTGGGTGAACGGTACATATACAATCGTAATTATCAGTAGTGATTTCATTTCAAGCATCTAAATTTATCTAAACATGTTGAATATTGAAAAATTGTCAGATGAAATAATTAACTTTCTAGTTTGATCTGAAATTCTCAATCAAAATTATGCTATCATATACAGCACTCACCCATTAACTAAATGGAAGAATATCGTATATGTCTTGGTATTGCATACATATTGAACGTTAAAAAATATATGAGCTGCAAATCCTTGAACTCTTATTCTCTCTCTTCCAAAATGTTATATTCTTAGTGTTATAACTTGCGACCTTGGTGCTCTGCTAATGTATAAGTAACGATACCGCCAATTAGAGAGGAGTGAATTATCGATCGGATCAATGACGCATAAAACCCGTACGAGCAGTCTAGAGTACTTATCGGTTCTGCTTCCTGTTTAGCCTAACCAGTGAAGTCCAGAACACCAATCTCAGCCTCTGCAATATGTATCGTTTATTTCAAACATAATAGGTTTATATACCAACCAAAACAGACCCCATCGTACCAATAAAATAGGAAACAACATTTATACAAGATTTAGGCAAAAGTGGCTGTGAATGTGGGAGGTAATGATTAATAGACAGGGCATAATTCAAGAATGGTAAATCGTATAATAATAGTTCATAGGTCAAAATAGAGCTCATAATAAGAGGGACATGAATCCGAATAGTTTAGTTACTTAACAATTATACGATAAAAATATACGCATAGTATTAATCCATAAATGGATCCCAAAAGTTACCATTCATTATGCTTATCGGGACATAACACTTAATTATTATATAAACTTAATAACAGTTAGTTCAACAGGATGTTCTAGTCCTATTATTAACTATAACTAGTTTTCAACTGTTATTTCAAATTTATGGAATAAATACCCTTTTAAAACAATTTGATTATATCTGTAAATCGGTATGCACTCTGTAATTATTTCCAGTATATCATTTAATTAATTAATTAATTGGGGTGGTGTGTTTATTAACTATTATATTAGTCGTAATATCATTTTTGTGAAATATGATAAAGTGGTAGGTATCTATCTGTCTAAGAATGTGGTTTCTATGTATATATATATATATATAGGGGGGAATGTGCATTTTCGTATATGACAGAATCGTATACCATAACATATAAAGTATGTGTAAAGTATGTATAGAAAGATCTGTCTAGAATTAACTTTTAAAAGATTTCATTTTACTGTAAAAAGTATCCTTTTTTTTAATTGCAATATCAAAAAAAAAAAATAATTTTTTTTTGGTTTTTACGTCAGACTACTAAGACAACTCAAAAAGTAAAACGTGACATAAATGTCACATTTCATTACATGAAATGTATATTAATTTCATGTTACATAATTATGTAATTATAAGAAAATATAATCACATTCTTTTTTTGTCGTTTCGCTAATATTATTACTTTATCATATGATATATGTGTGGTGTATAGATCATAAAATGTTCATTGTAAATGATTGTTTGTTTAAGTAAAGATGAATAGTGGCTAGCAGTGGAATCCAGGTCGAATGTTTCGTCCTATTTGGAACTCGTCAGGTGGATGTACCTGCAAAGCGCGTCCTGGATTCTCACTGCTAGCCACTATCCATCTTTGCTTAAAAAATTTGTGACTTAAGGCTATATCGAGGCAATCCGTACAGGATGCACATATGCCATTAAAAGACTGATTCAATTGCAATCCTACATAACAATGGAAGGATACAAGTAAAACAACATCAAGTGGGTTGTTTGTTTCTTTGATTGTTTTTTATGTTACAATTTTATATTGTAACTATGACTGCTTGATTTATATGTGTTGAACTTTTTCAGTGATTAACTCGATAAGAATATTTAAAGTACCCCATTTTTATGTAATGTGATAACATTAGTCTATTATAACAATTTTCAGTTTTCTTTCTCATGTTAGCAAACACTTCGGATGTTCTCATTTCAGAATTTATTCTTGAGTATTATTTATTTATTTGAACAAATACATATTGGTACAAAGGGGCACCGAATACATATGCACCAGATAAATTATTCGATTATTGTGAGGGATGGGATGCTGCCTGGGTGCCTAGACCGAAGCAAGTGGTTTTCTTAGGAGGGCACACCCAGAGCCTTCAACCTAAAGGTTTGATCCACAAGGCAGCGAAGCAACGTCAGGAGATTCGATCCCATGTTAGCTGGTGACCAACTGTAGATTAATACGCTATTTGTTTCCCTAGGATCCTGGTGCCTATATGCATCTGTATCCACCAACCCGGTGAAAGCGCTGGTCATTCGCTTTTCGTTCTCTCATCTTCGTAAACATCAGTAATATAGCGAGTAGGCAGTTGGTCGGACTTCCGTGGCAGTGGTTGTATGCACGTGGCCATGTGACAGTATTTGGAGAGGGAGAGCTGCCTCTCACCACTCTCCGCCGTACAAGGGCATTTATTATGGACAGATTAAGTTTCGTGTTTGAACTTCAAGGCTGCTTTTAATTATCGCTATACTTTTTTATAATCCATTAAAAGAAATATATTTTTTTACATATTTTTTGCCAGCTATCCATTAATGGATAGATCATCAGTTATTGTTGAAACTCAGTCAAAAGATTCTCATGCGGTAACTACTCATTTAAATCAATCCTATTTACGACCTACACAATTAAATTTAACAACTGGAAGACATTTACCTGATGAATCCTATTCATTGTCTTATCTTTCATCTTCATTATCATCATCACCAACATTATCATCGACATTAACTACTACATCATGTCCACGTTCATCTGTGATATCAGACTATTCTGACTTCAATAATCAATTATCTGCTGATGTTAGTGATAATAATAACAATAATAATAATAATAATAATCAAGTATGGTTACCAAAACAACGATATATTAAATCTAGTCGGAGTTTACCAAATGAACAAACTAATAATCAATTAATAAGTTCAAATAATAATAATCAGAATGCCAATAATTGTTTAGATTCAAATTCATTAGGATTTCTCAATGGTGGACGTAATGTTGTTGATATAAGTGGATTAACTGAGACTGAACCAACATCAACAACTACTACACCGTGGTTTGCAGCAGCAGCGGCAGCTGTAGCTGTTGTTATGGCTGCATCTCAATCATCATCATCATCATCAACTAATTCCGCTTTATTAGATCCATATACAGTATCATCAAATTTAAATGAATGTTTTGGAATCAATGACCGTATTAATAATAATAATAATTCAGGTATAAATCAAGTAAATAATCGACGTGTTCCAGTGAATACAACTAATTTTTCAAAGGTAAGAATAAGATAATTGTTGAATGGACTGTTTTCTCTGATTATGAATCAAAATCTGTGTTATTAATGTCAAATTAATAAATCTGAGACTTAGTGTGTTGTGTTTGTTTGTTCTAGTGGATCATGATTTGTAGGTTGTTTATCGAGGCAAGTTTTTCATTGTATTCTGGAGTATTCAGTAGAATGGTTAAACAAAGGATAGCATAAGTCATCTGTGAAATCGAGTCTGCAATATGTAGTAGACATAAAATATTCAACCTAACTGGGCACCAAAAGCAGTTTGTAACGGAACACTTTTGTATTGGTTGTTTCTAAATGACCTATATTAGATAACGAAAACCTATATATTAGGTATTGGATAAAATGATTATTACTTACATTTGTTTATGAAGACTTAAATGTCCTGATATAACAATTAAAATAATGGTCGCCTACATCTTATAGGTAGCAGGTACTTCGATTTGTGTAATTATATGATTACACTAGTTCCTCACATCTGGTATGTGTCACAAAGTGGAACATTAGAAGATTGATACATTTTTTTCTTGAGAACGCTCCAAACACTAACTATCTATTCTGTTAAAGTAGTCGGTTCTTGAAACTTGAACAAAAAATGAAATGCAGAACGTATAAAAAAAGCTGTACTGTGAAGGTTAAACTATGAAAAATAGAAAAAGTATTGATAAGATTTTTTTAGCGGATTTTATTATTATAAGCAATAATAAATAGTGGCTAGCAGTAGAATCCGGGACGCACGTTTCTCCCTTTTTGGGACACATTAGCTGGATATACCTGCATCTCAGAGTTGATTTTTACCCCGGACACGAACCCAGTATCCTTTACTTCCAACTCGATCGCGTTATCCACTTAGCTACTGAGTCCACATAGCCACTAGCTTGTGCAATGGGGTGAAGTTTTTATTCATTTTCCTATTGTTCGTTTGAATCTTGTCACTGATATTCAATACTGCAATTGATAAATGCAATACGAAAATGAATTAGAATTTTACTATTGTCGAATTACAATCAAATAAGCATTATGAATTTACTAGTATTTTTTTGGAGGTTTGCAAAAATAGTCTAATTATTCAAATAATTCTCTACATTTGCCCCCAAATGCCTTGAAACGGCCGAAGGTGGGGAGAGTCAGCTCTGTCAAAACGCTTACATGGCCACGCCTATACAGCCACAGGGAAGTCCTACTCACTATCTTCTCGTGGCGTCACTGTTGTTTACGAAATTGAGAGTACGAAAACGAATGTCCGGCGCTTTAAATGGGCTGGTTCTGCAACTATCATATCCAAATTAATAATCTATGAAATAGGCTAGATTTCTCTCTCATCCCATGTTGACCATATTTTTTTCCGATGATTTATCGCACAATTTCATTTCACTTATAAACTGATTCAAATTAACACTTTATCTTAGTCAACTTCAACATTAACCATTTGATTTGATTTTATATGACAAACAACAATTCTTGATTCACTTATTACAATTTCCAAAGGATGTACTCTGCTTTAAATCTGGCCAATCTTACAGATTATTAATTTGGATATGATAATTGCAGAACCTGATGAGAAATCATTGAAAAGACTATACTTCGTTCATACAAACGTTTTTCTTTCACTGAATTCTGAAAGAAATTATTGATAAACTCCTTAGTCAAATGAATACATAATTCATAAAATATAAATGAATTGAATACAAAGTCTAATTTATTCTTTGAGAAGTCAACATATCAAATTATCAGTATGGGGTTGTGGAAGTTGTTGAATTTCTGATTGAATGCGCTCCTCTGTGGAGTCCCATCTTAGAACGAAACGGTCATCCAGTTCTTCCAGATTTTCTATTGTAGTTTAATATTAATCGATTCCTGATCTCATATCATATTATAATTGATTACAAATTTGATAGACACAGGGTATTAGGGAACGATGGTAAATCAGTTGATGAGGTTATGAATCTTGATCGACTGAGATGGTTGGGCCACGTGTTACGTATGCCTGAACACCAATTACCACGATGTGCAATGCTAACCGGTTTTGGAGATGGTTGGAAGAATGTTAGGGGCGGCCAAACAAAACGTGGCATCATTTGTTGAAGTCAATAACTTCTAGTCTGAGCCATGTTGGTAGATGCTGACTACTTGGTTGGGGTCCGCGTGACTATCTTAACTAATGGTTGGAGACTCTTGGTGACATGGCTCAGAATCGATCACAATGGCATCGGTCTATACACTCTCTGTCTTCCCTTAAACTAAGAGATTAAAATCGCTTCATATCTTTCTTTCTACGAACTCATTCTTTCTTCCTGTACTATATCCTTATATGCAATCTTTCTTTTATATATTACCACATCTGAATTAACTACTTTTATGAATCCGGTGTCCATCTTGTTGTGTTAATGAGGTATGACAACTTGGACCGATGCATATATGTGCCTGGTCGTACGTTGTAACTGACTGACTGACAAATCTGATATTCATTACATTGTACATTTCATATTATATAAATACTCTATGTTCCAAAATTTATTCTAAACAAAAAATACAATCAAGTTATACCAAGGGTATATTTTGAAGAGATCTGCTTGAATTTATCCTTCAGTTATTTTAAGAAAAGAAAAACAGACAAATGTTATTATTAATAATTAGCTGATAGTAGAAAAAAATGTATTTTGCACTCAACATGTTATATTTTAATCATGTTGTAGTGTATGCTAATTATACTGACAAGTATAAGTAGTATGTAGCACCAATCAAAAGTGAAATATCTACCAAACAAATAGTTGAATTGAAGAGAACAATTAGAATAACAACAGAATGGAAAGAATCATAAAAGATGTAAAGGACAATTTAAGGAATATGTGCAACTAATGTATATTTATTGTATGGTTTTCATATTATTTTGCATTGAGTAAAAGTTGATAATGTCACTAATTTGTGGTATATTCACTGTGAAATATAACAGTTTTATATGCTTATTCATGTTTATGCATTATCCACTTTCAATGAAGATAATGTGTAAATTAATCGGTTAGGCAGAACATGTAAATAAATGATTTGTGATCAGTCAGTTAGTCAGTCAGTAACAACGTAGAACTTCATACGTACGTACATCAGTTTGAGTTGCAATATCACATGCAGTTGTCGATTCAGATCCCGTAGTGGTAGAGGTAGTAAGAGTATAAGCAGTAATCGGAAAGATTAGGGTTTGGAGATGTGATCAATACCTATGAGATAACTGTGTTACAATCGGTTAAGTTTAGAGTAAATTGATCATCTATCATATACATAGTGTTCATTCTACTTCAGTTTGATATTATTGAACACTAAATATTGTAGACTGTGAAGATTTGATTTTTATGGTTTATATGTTTATGTATATTTATACTACTAATAATATTTTTTTTTAAAATTAATTTTCAAATAATATATGAATTATTCTTTCATGTTATAATTCTTATTCACATGGAAAGCAACGTTTCAAATTAGGTCTACATGAAACTGTTTTAGATCATCAACATTCTGGTAGATCATTTTTATCAAATTCTTATAATATTAATCCATATGATACTAATAGTAATACTACTAGTGGTCATATGAATGAAAATATATTGAAAATTGGTAAATATGAATCAAATGATACATTACGTTCCTTACATCCATCATTATCATCATCATCAACATCATCAGTAGCATCATCATTATCTGATGTTACACATCCGTCGACAATAGCTGCTATGCAAGCGGCGGCTGTTGCAGCAGCAGCAGCTGCTACCGCTGCTGGTCTAGTTCTATCCAATAGTCGTGTACGTGGATTATCTGATGAAATTTATCCAAATTTAAATCGTGTGAGCATTTCTAATTCATTGCCTGAATTACCAAATAATTGTTATACATCAACTACACCATCATCATTATCCTCATCATCATCATCACCACCAATAATGGGTAATTTTGGTAGAATTATTGAAAATCTTTCAATGTATTCAACATCATTAGATCGTAATGCTCAACCGATTAATAATCTGGATTATCCATCATCATCAACATTATCCTCCTCCTCCTCATTATTATTGTCATCAACAGTGAATAATTTCCCTGTTAATCATTCCATTGTAAATACTACATTACCATCGATTACTGTACCAGTTATAACTAATAAAGAAATTAGTCCACGTTTAAAGAATGGTATTAGACCGGTGAGTTTATTAATTCCACTGATATCTACATTCACTTTTTTCAATATTTAAGTAGTATCTATTTTGTATACACTTTATGAATAATAATAGTTTGTTAAAAGTAGTAATGTTTTATATTTGTAATTGTCATTTGAAAAAGGGGAATTTGGTCAGAGGTTAACTCCATTATCGATTTATTTAATCATTTTGCTTGAAACGTTGAATTTATAATAAAAAAAGTAAGTTGTTTAAACATCAGAATAATTACTCAGCAAACTATAATCTCTATACACATAGTTCCCTTTATCATTTTGAAATGAGCAAGAACAAAGATTCTATTAGGATAGCATGGATTCATTTTATTTCGTCTGATTCTCATCAACTGCTTACATAATGGGTTTCTAATTACTTACATGAGAGGGTTTGGTTGGAAGTTATATTGAAGATATATTCGTATAGTATAGAAAGGGGGTAAATAAATTTAATAGATTGTATACTGTAAATATGTATCTTATGTAAAGGGATTTTGTGACTTAAGTTGAAAGGGCCAGAAATACGTGATAGGAATAAAATGAGCAAAGCTCCGTTACTAAAACAAGAATAATAATCTGGAAGACGGACGAAATAAAAAGACAGAAGCGTAATGAATACAGGAAAGAGTTAAAAAAAACAAAAAAAAAAGCTTTAAGATACAATAAAGAAATATTTATCACCAAGGCAAGGAAAAATTAATGACCATCTCCTTTTGAACACATAAATCAAGATTTTGACGCTTGATAGCAACGGCTTCAACAAACTTCAGAAGACTGGATTTTGTCTGTTTATTAATCACCTTAAAATATTGCAAGTTATCGACCTGATGTTGGAAACTCGATACTCTTAAAAATCTTTCAGGAAATAGTATCGAACTAACTTGTCGATGTAGGCATATAGGATAATATTACTATAGTAATAAAAATTGCAAGTTGTTAGTAGGATTGAATACATACTGCTCTTATGAATCTGAAAGTAGACACTCCATTGTGCATCTGGGAATGTGTTTTTGATTGGTCAGAAATGGGATCAAATGGATGGGGAAGCTACATTGACTCCATTTTAAATCTTTGCTAACTTTATTCCTGTAGACTACATGATATTTTAGAATATTTAATGGAAATTTGTCAGTACACATTCCATATATCGTACTACATTGATAAAAATAGCCTTGTGTATTTCAAAAGTCGAGGTCATTTTACTCGATATATGAATGCAACATATTATCATTAGACTGTTTAAAATGTTAAAAACGTGAAGTTCAGAGAAGGGGATCTATTTTCGACGAATTTTTTTAACAAGCTGTACAGTATATATATATATATATATATATATATATATATATATATATGATTTTTTTTTGCTAAGTACTGGTCCCGTGCGAACATATGAACAGGGAGTAAACGTGATAATCAAATGGAAAGATTATAATTCCAGATTACGTAATATGAACAATAACAATAAAAGATTGTATATATGCAAATAGATTATAATGTGAATAAAATAAGCTGATTAAAATGTTTTTGTTACAATAATTAAAGGTAATGGATGTGCAAAACTAAATGATGTAATTCCAGAAACAATTATGAAAGTAATGATGAAGACATGAGACATAAGTAAGGAGAGAGGGGGGATATTTTCCAATACGAAATGTAATGATAATAATAATCAAGTACAAGGTAACGATAACGAAAAGATGTACATATAGTTCTGGCTTGAGTTCATGAATGGTTAAGAGCTTATGCTGTTTTAAGGAGTTGAATACAAAGATACCTAGGTAGATTCGGATGAATTATATAAATAACCTTGAAATCAACCTGTGGAAAGGTAAAATAAATACAGTCGATTAGATGTTCAAGAATGGGACTTCTAACTTGTTTTTTATATCCTTGTAGAACCGCACTAGGATAACAGAATCTCATCATGTTTATTCCTTGTTCATATGTGTTGACGGAACCAGTACTCTATATATATGTAATTCGTTGAAAAGAGATCCCTTCTCTAAATTTCGTGTTTTTAATTTAAATACAGTTAAATGCCTTGAAGACAATCTGATGATCATTTCATAGTTGTGTATCATATGGATTTGTAAGATTATGATCAAAATAAGTAATATATCAGTTAAAATGTTCTAAATTTGTATTTGGCACTTTCCTCAATACAGTATACAATTCAGACAAATTCTTGAAGAATTTTATTATCTTATCTAGAGCATAATTGAGGTTAGCAATATTAATCAGATTCGATACTTTGATTAGATATTACTTATGACTTAGTAATCATTCATTCCACTGATTACATTTTGTTATGACCCAACTTTAGCTGTACGTATTGATATGTTATCATAATTTGTGAATGCGACGTGAAATCTATTCTTCAACTGAAATTAAACTATTCTACTTACTCCGTAGATGACTTTTGAGCTCTCGCCTCTCCTAATGACTAAGAAGATAATCGGAAGCCGAATGGCTTATTCTTAATCTGGGAAAAAAATATGTCTGCTTATAAAACTTTTTGCGTGACTTTGGGAACTACTCGTTTAGAGTGTGAATTTCATAGTGCCTGATTCAATGGTACAACCATAGTTTGAAAATCAAAAGTTGCATTCATCAAAATTACCATTATTTGTTTAATTTAGGTCAACGTTTTTGAGAAATAATTCGTTTTACAACACTTTCGATTGAGTGCACAAAATTTTATCGGTTCCAGTAGGGTACATTTAAAAGTATACATCATTTCCAATATCACCACAATGTAACGCATTGACGTTACATGACATTGCCTCTGTAATCTGGGTTCGAATTTCATTAGAGGTGAGGGATGGATGCAAACCAGTATGGAATCTAGATTGAGATTTTCTTATCGATTACTTTCAACCATATTGCATCGAAAAGTTTTATTCTCTATCCCAACAATAATAATAATGAACATAGTAGTACTACTGAGAGAACATATGATTCTATCATTTTCTTTCAATGATATCTTATTATTTTTATCATTCTAGACTTCCATAACAGTACAACAATTTGCTGAACGCATTCATGTTGCTGCCAAATATATGATGACTGAAAGAAAGGTCAGTATTATTTCCTATATCCATTTTTTCCCCTGTATTCTTTTCATTTCACTACTTATCAATTGTATTTTGTTTATGGATTTATAATATTTATTATAAATTTTAATGACACATTTTTCAGTTAAAGTAAAGTACACAGATGAGCCTATCAGAATCGAGACGAGAAATTGTATTTAACTGACAAATTAACACTACCACGGAATTCTTCCCCATCCCACCGTAAACATTTTATCTTGAAATGAATCTTAACCCAGTGACAGTATAGTTTATGGCGGGACTGATTAGACTTATTCAAAATCGGTTTATTCAAACAGCCTACAAAGAATTTCTACATTATATCTAGTGTCAGTTTATAATAAAACCTTAAGTCTAAACTTTTAATCGTAGCCTTAAATACCTGATTCTAGCCAAGAATAATCTGAGGATGATATCTTTAGATTTGCAGGCAGAGTAACCTGTAGAAGAGTTTAATCGACTCAAAATTATATATCCCTGTACAAATGCTACTTTGTAAATTGGCTAAGAATTAGCTGAAAATCCGTCGTGGTTGTTTATAGTTCGTCCCTTCATTATACTCTTACTCATATTGCATACTATACATTGTTTAAGAAGTATAGATTTGTAATACACTGTTTATGCATAAGCTATGGTTCTACTAATAAAGCACGCTGAATCGCCAACATTCAGATTGAGTAAAATTCAGAAAAATGTGATCTTTCCGTTAAATGATCAGTATTTCAATCATAAAGTCACCGCTCCCCAATAATGTGTAATGGAATTAATAGTAGGTAGTAATTAGATTTTGAGTTGTTGAAGCAAACAAAGCAAGGAGTACAGATGTGTTTTGAATTTAAGGAATATTACAATCAATTGTTTTAACTACCGGACAAAATTTAAACATTCAGTTTTTTCGGTACATACTACATTTGTACTACAATCAGATTGATATGATTGAGTAATGGGCATTGTTGGCGTTTATATTTATGGAGGACCTTTGAGCGACGCTAAAGCTACCTTGGGAATGTTCACCTACTTACTATAACTGAATGAAGGTTATATACCAGTGTAAAGAATTAGGATTAGGATTTTTAGCTGATGGTTAGGGCTAGGAATTAGATTTGGAGTTTTCATAACGAATTGGCATTAGCCAAAATGCCAAAACTCTCTCTAACCAAATGGATGAATGAATTTCGCGTCAAAATCCAAGACCTGTTATCTTGTTTCCGATTGGCTCATTTATAAATTACAGTCTCGCCCTTTACTGATTTGATTAATTTTCATTTTAATTTAGTTACTGTTTCTAAACCAGTCTCATCTACCTACCTACCTATAGTTTCCCATTTCATATAGTTTATACGCCAGTATATAGACGAGAGTTTTAAAATGCTTATGAACTAATCTAACTACAGTGTTATTAAAGATGTGTGAGCAGTTGTCACTTCCCGGTTGCCTACACCGTTGAAGGATGCTTCTTCTTGAAATACTTGTAAAGAAAACTAGATTAGAAATAGTTTTGGCAACCTTAAAAGCACAACCATAGAGCCCAAAAGACATCTACTTTAGAGTGGTCACACATGACATTTTTACAAATATGCCTTACCATTAAAGATTATCAGGCTGTTCAAGTTTTTTCCCTCTTTCTGGAAACTACTAGAATCCCTTGATGAGATTCTTATTGTTTTCAGTTTTAATCTAATTTTGATTATACTATGTAGGTAGATATGATTTTAAAATTGTTGTAGGTCAGTTGTCCAATAGTTGAAAAGTTTGAATTTTAGCCTCTTAGTCACAGGTTTGAATCACGCTCTACTTATTTCAGTTTAAACTACTTGATATTACTACTGGCTTTCACATGTATGGTATAACGAGTAGGCAAGTCGTTGTTGTTGTTGTTGTTGTTGTTGATATTTTCATTAAAACATTCTTAATGTAATTTTACAACTGAGTACAAAAAAGAATATCACATGATTAGCTTATGTTACAAACTTTATTTGATCTTTTAATATTGTTTTAGTCCGTTAAGAAACATTTGCCCCACATAAATCATTCGATTTCTGTGAGGGCTGAGATACTGGCCGGGTGCCCAAAACGAAACAGGTAGTTTTCTTAGGAGACCACACCCGGAGCCTTTGATATGAAGGCCTAATCCACAAGGCAGTGGAGCAACGTAAGGAGATGCAATCCCATGGTAGCCAAGTGACTAATAATTGGTTCATACGCTATTTGTCCCTTCAGGATACTGGAATCCATGTGCATCATTGGTTTGGAATGAGGGTTTTCCAACTCCCCTATGTGGACTCTCCATGTCCACCAACCCGGTGAAAGCGCCGGACATTCGTTCCCGTCATCTCAATTTCGTATACAACAGTAATGCAGCGAGAAGTTAGTGAGTAGGACTTCCGTGGCAGTGGTTGTATGCACGTGGCCATGTGGGAGCATTTCAATAAACTCAACAGGACACTGAATTTAAAACTTTTCATCTTTCTAGAACTGTGATATACCACTCAACTACTGAACCTAGAGTTCAGTAGTACACATTGTTTTT